TTTTTCGAAGCGAGAAATTGGCCTTCAACAATGAAAGCAAAACTACTCAGAATTTGGTATGTGCTTCTTTTGGTACCAAGAAAAAGAAGAGTGAAAATTTACATGGATAGTGCAGTGGCAATAGAAAATATAGAAAAGAGAAGAAAAAAGAGTGCAATATGACAAATTTTGAAAAAAGAGAATTATAATTTAGTAAATAGTATAGCTGATATAATTAGGATTAAGGAAATTCAGTTAGAATTAGTAAAGGTTAGAGGTTATAGTAATAATAGATAGAATGATTTAGCAGATAAGTTAGCAAAATTAGGTTCTAAAATAGACAATAAGGAGGACTTAGTAGAAGAACCCCCAAGAGTCGAGCGTTTCTTTGTATTGAAACGGCGAGATAGTAGAAGAACTTGCAAGACAATTTATCCAAACAGTTCTGTGTTTTCAAACAAGTTTAGACTGAAGAACATCAACAGCAATTAAAAAAGAAGAACCAGACAACACATCAAAAACAAATCACTGGCCAATTTTGTGAAGAAAAATCAGAAGTTAAAATGGAAGCAGGTGTAATAGTTCAAAGAAGAATTAATAACTAGGAGTATTAATCAAGTGTCTTTATGAAAGATTACCAGTACTTAAAATTTTGGCTACCAGAAGACCAGATTTATATAAGAACCTCTTTTGTGTAATTTGCAGAAAAGATGAAGAAGAAGACCAAGCTTACCTAACAAAATGTGAAAAGTATGAAGAAAGATAGACCAAATTAGAACAAACCATATCGAATATAGCTTGGGCAGTTCTATCTACAGAAACAAGAAGCCAGCTCAGTAAGGCCCAACTCGAGTACACGTTATGGGATCCAACAAGAGAAGAAAGAATCAGAACAAGAACTGGCATTCTCAAGGGTCTAATCCAGAAAGAAGTCTTCAGAAAACTTCTTGACATTATAAAGCCACTAAAGGAAGCAAAAAACTATCTAAAAATGATAGTGAATTTAGCATGGAATTTTTTTTATGAGAATATTTGGAAGTGAAGATGCTTAGCCGTCATTGAATAGGAAAAAAAAAAAGGTATTGATGCTAAAAAAAAGAAAGATAGAATCCGAAAGTAGAGAGCTCAGGTTTCAATATAATGCAGTCACGTAAGACTACAGGGAAGTCTTTTGGTGTTCAAGACCAAACCAAGGGAAAAATAAAAAAAAAGGAAGAAAAAGAAAAAGAAAAAAAACAAAAAAAAGTGACTTGGTTTGCGTCAATTAAAAATTATATTGTAAATAAAGCGAAACCATTTTGGTATGATTTTGCAGGCTAGCTTGATGCAGCCCTCAGTGCGGGCATAAGCTTTATCTAGTAAGGCAGCCACTCTTGGGCGCCCCTAGGGATAGCCAAGAGATATCAGATCTGTAGTTTAGATAGTTAATATATGTATTTTTATACTTTGATCTAATAAAGATACTGGTAAAGCTGCCGACAGATTAAAAAAAATAAATAAAATAAAATAAAATAATCTTTCTTGGTCTTCTAATTAAAGTTGTAGAGCTATCTTTTCTGATTCTAATAGTTTTTAAATCATCAAAATCAGACTAGTAAATCCCAAAATATTTGAAATTAAAAATAAGAATATAGTATTATAAACTATAAGACTTTGTGTAACTACCAATTTGTAGATCTTTATGTTTACCCAAATATCTTGGGATCCACCAAGCCGATTTTGATGATTTAAATATCATTAGAATCAGAAAAGTTTTCTCTACAACTTTAATTAGAAGCCCAAGAAAGGTTATCTTATTAAAATTTTTTTTAAAATCTAAAAAATTGGTTATACAATTGAATTAATTGAATCAATTGAATCAATTATTTATACAGGTAGTCTAAATGTTATCATTACACAGTATAAATAGAGTACTCTAAATGTTATCATTATACACAAATATTTTTAGTATATAGTTATAGATATATATTTTTTTCTGTATTACAAATACAATGATATCTTGTTCTCTTACTACAATATATACAATATAATTGTAAATAAATTGTAATATCTTTAAAATTTTTTTGTTGGCAAAGCTAATAATTGATATATTATTTTAGATTTCCTTTTCTTATTTGAGATCTTGTATTTAATAACAAAATTTCATTTTTTAAAAAATTTTTTTAACTATTTTATCTATTAATAATTGTCTAAAATCAAAATATAATATATTATATCTTTCTTTATTCTATTTTTTAAATATTAAAAATATATTTGCTTTAGCAATTTCTAATTTTTTTTTTTTTTTTAATGTGTTGGTAGCCTTGCTGATATCTTTATTAGATCAAAGCTAATGTACAGGGATATTAAAAAACTATCTAAATTACAGATTTGATATCATTCAGCTTTTTTTATAGGCGTCCAAGTGTGGTCTGCCTTACTAGTTAAAGCTATTGCTCATACCGGAAAGCTATACCAAGCTAATTGGTAAAACTATAACAAGATAGTTTCGATTTAGAGAGATTTTTAACTAAGCTAAATTGGCAATTTTTTCTTCTAAACTATCCACCTCTTTATAACAAACTGAAACTAATTTTTTATTAATAAATAATTCTATCTCCTTTTTCAAAAAAGGTTATTACTATAAACCTCTCGTTTATATTTACATTTTCTTTTTCTCTTCTTCTAATTAAATCTGTTTTTTTTAAAAAGATCTCTAGCTCTCAAAACCTCATGTTTTGTAGCTTCATGGCCTTCTTTTGTTTCTTAAGAGCTTTTTTTAAAGATCTTTTCTAGAGATATTCTTCTGTAGACCTTCTTTTCTTCAAAAAACCTTGGGGCTTCTTTTGGTCTTTTCATTTTGAATTCTTAAATAGTTCTTTCTAGTTCTTTCTCTTTTGTGTTCAGGGTATGAAGATCTTCTTTTTTCCTTTTCTTTGCCTTCTTCTTTTTTTTTTTCTTTCTAAGCTTTGGTCTTCTTCCCAAAACTTTTCTTTAATTTCTATAAAATTTTTATAAATATTCTTCAATTCTCAAAAACTTCTACAAAGACTTTCTCTAATATCTCTAATAAAGTATCCTTTTTCTTCTTTTTCCAGTTTTTGAACCTTTTTCATTTGTATACTGTTGTGTCTTAAATCAAGTATATATTAATATTTCTTTGGTTCTTCAGATACCATACCCACTTTGCTAGCAAATCTTTCTTTTTAATCTTTCACACTCTATTATTGAACTGTAGATTTTTAATATTTATTTGATATATAACTTCAATCAGCTATTCTGTTAGATTTGTTGTTCTGATTATAGGTCTTGACAGACTCTTCTTGAATCTTGTTTAGGGCTTTTGATTCAATAATATTTTTAATATCTTGTTCTTTAGCTTTTTTTTACTTTTTTCTCTACCTTTCTTTCTTTTCTCTCTTAATTTGCTGCTTTAGCTTTAACTGATACTTTAAAATTTATAATTAAAGTTCTTAGAGCTACTTCATTGTTTTGCTTTTGTTAAATATTTTTTTGTTTCTAAAGTCTTTTACTCTAGTCTAATTCTAGCTTTGACCTTAATTCAGCTATTTGTTTTTTCTTTTGCAAGAGTTGCATCTTTGTTTACAAAATTCACAGAGTTTGTATCACTCTTTCTCTTGCTTCTTTAATTTTCTTTCTTGTTTCATGCTGGGCTACTGCGGTAGACTCGATATATTTTTTAAATTGTTGTACTAATATTTTTAAGACTAACTTGTTATGCTGCTTTTGTCAAGCTTTTTTTTGTTCTTGAAGTCTTTTGCTCTATCTTGATTTTAGCTTTAACTTTATTTCTGCAGCTTGTTTTTTCTTTTTCCAGACTTGCATCTTTAATTTTTTTTCTTTAGTTTTTCTTTTTTTTTACAGTACCGGACATTAAAAGATATCCAATATAATAGGCTTACTATAAATTGTTATAACTTAAGAACAAGATATCATATCAAAAATTCCCTGACAAATCAATAGTTCTTGAGTCAAGCTACAATTCTGTCAGAGGAATTTTTATTTTAATTAGTTTTTAAAAAGTTATAACAGGTCAAAATTTACCAATTTCCATAATAACTTCAAAAATTGGCACATATATATAATATAGACAAATCATGTACTCATAATTTTATTGGCTAAATTTTTGCACAATGTAAGCCAAATTAAAATCAATCTTGAGTAAAATTTTATAAACTTTTGTACAGTAGTAAATTTCAGCAAATTAGTTTTCATTAGCTCATAATTTTTAACATATGCAGTTTTTGAGATTCGGTAATTACAATTCGACCCATTTATTAAAACCAAATTATGCAATAATACTAGCCAAACTTCAGCATATCATATATAGCACGATAATAATTATATGATATCAGATTTACTAAAACTCAAACGTAATATTAGATGTATTTGTAAAGTTATAACTTTCATAACACAGCATTGGCTTGGACACTAATTAGATTTTTGTGTTAAACTCAGACTAAAAATTCAGTTTCATTTGAAAATAAATCAGGCTCAAATATTTGGGTTCAGATCAAAAGGTCTATGGATAGTCTATATTTAAGCTAATTAACCAAAATTGTTATAGCTATTCTTGCCATTGACATCAAAATTGCTTAGGGTCGATCATAGATTGTATTGTGTACTCATGGGCTAGACTTGGATCCATCCAATCAAATATGGATCTAAATATTTGGTATATATTTTTGCTAGCTGGATCTGAACTTCAAAATATCTAGCCCAGCCTGGCCTATGCGAAACTCTAATATACAAGCCAGGTGAAGTCAATAACGTCTCTAGATCTATATCTATTTTTGAACTCAAAAAACCCTGAATGTGCTGAGTCTCAATGGCTCATGCAAGATTGGGCGTTACAATAATATTGGCTTCATCTTTTCACTTTGCTACAAGCTCTAATGCTCTCAAGATTGCATAAATGTGAAAAAAATTTGTAAACAATACAATGGCCATTAATTAATCAATCTAATCTTATACCCTATTTCTTTAAACACTATTAGTGATGATGACCAAATAAAACGAATCTAGTTCTGAGTATGCTTTAAACCAAAAGTTAATAATAACACAACATTTGGACCATGCCTAATAAAAATATGTAGGCACAGAATAGGTAAGAGCACCTGACGTCTGGTCTAAAAATACCAAATACAGGAATCTGGTGCCTGGTCCAAAAATGTACACCAATACCAATATACATGGTATAAATACATATGACATGTGCATTTACAGATTCCTAATCAGAACCAATCTATTATTCTTATCATAAGCTGCCTCAGAGACAAACTATAAATAAAAAATAAGAAATTTTTAATTGGCATTGATCTGTTCTGAGTATGCTTTAATTGAATGTTAATAATAGCACAGCTTTGGATTATGACTAATAAAAAAAAAATGTAGGCACAGAATAGATAAGGTCGCCTGATGCCTGGTCTAAAAATACCAAGTACAGGAACCTGGTGCCTGGTTCAAAAATACGCACCAATGCAATATACATGGAATATACACGGCATATGTATTTACAGATTCCTGATCGGAACCAATCCATTATTCTTATCATAAGCTATCTTAGATACAAACTATAAGAAATTTCTAATTGGCATTGATCTGTATAATCCTATATACAATACTTGTGCCAATTCTTAAAGGGCCAATAGCAAACTTAATTTTATTTACATACTTTGATGATAATCATAATGTGTAATAAGACTTTTGACTAATCTTCTTTGCCGAATTTAATTACATATATAATATTTTTTACCGAGTAAACTAGATAGATTGTTGATTTCTTAGTTGTAAAGATAAAATAATTAAATAAATATTTGTAATACTTATCTGCAATTATTACTTTGAAATTGGATAATACTTTGTTTCAAAATAACTTCTATTTATTTCTCAACATAAAGCACCTTTTCATTTATGCTTATTTCGAAAATTGACTTGTGAAAATTATATTTTAAATAATGCATATGATTTATAGAGACTCAAGATAATATACAGATAGGCAAAATATGTCAGCTATTAAAAAATTATATAAAGAATTAGGAAAGATTTAAGTTAACAATATAAAAATATTCAAGTAAAAAATTATAATAAAGAGTGTCTTCTGTTGGGTAGGTCTTCGATTTTTGCCCTGGCTTGAAAAAAATAAATTAAGATATATTTCTTTGTGCATTATCATTTTTAAGAATTTGTATACTTACAATAACAATAATTATTTTCTGGCTATTCAATTTGAAACCACCATGACAAAACCTTCTGTTCTTAAAAGACTACAAAAAGAAAAAATAAATGTGGCTCGTTCCACTTGGCAAGCTACGAATACTACACTGCATAAAAATCTTATTGATCTTAGTTCAAGTGAGGAATATGAAAGTAATAACTCTAATGGGGATGACAGTTTGGATGATGATTTTGTAGATGACAATGAACTAGGTAATGATAAAGATACAAATTCAATAATCAACTGTCTTCTTGTAGCTTCAGAAGCTAGTTTTGAAAAAAAGAGATGACCTAAAATATATACTGTGCTTTCTGCAAGAACTCGTCAAAGAAAAAATAAGGCATTAAAGGAAGCTGCAGCAGGAAGTTTAAAAATTACAAGTTTTTTTTGTACTACTAATACTCAACCACTAGCTGCTAATGATGATGAAGATATTGAAGACCATGGTTCTTCTGAGAGAGAATACAATGATGATGAATTAGAGGAGAATGATGAATCTAAGAAGGATGACGAATCAGAGGAGAATGATGAATTAAAGGATGATGAATCAGAGAATGAAGAAATTAACAACACTATTGTATTTGTGAACAAAACAATAAATGAAAAGATGCTCTCAAAAATGCTTTCAAAAACTGAAAAAACCTGTTATACAGCAGTTCTTTATTTTCTTCGATTGCTTCTAGATGGTCAAGAAAAAATGAAAGCATCAGAAACTGTTGTAAAGGTAATTAATGGTGGGCCATGGCTTGCAAAATATATTAGAAAATGAGCAAATATTTGTATAAAAAAGGAATTAATCACACCAAGCCTGAGAGGAAAATTGCTCACCAAAAGCCTACTTCATGATGAATTTGTATCTCTTCAATTGGCTGTCTACCTACGAACTCAAAAGTTCAACGCAACTCCTGAACTAGTTAAGAATTATTATGATCAACATATTTTATCTCAATTAAATATCAAACCTGTACAATATATTTCAGTCTGAACAGTTCATTGGTAAATGCATAAGCTCGATTTTTACTACTAATGTTATCAAAAAGATGTGTATAGTTGGGTGAAATTACCCTTCTTAATAAAAAGTTTTTGTTAAATTGTTGAAATTATTTGATAGTGAAATTAGTAAAATTAGTTTTTCAATATTAAAAATTAATTTAAATTATATCAAAAATTAATTAAAACTAAGCCAACTCAGATAAAAATAGTTATTTGATACAGTCAACTCTTTGTAAATATAAATTGGATACCAGTCAAAATCTTGCAAACACAATCCCAATAGGTCATTATTCTGACAAAAAATCCCGACAATCAAAATCCTGACAATTAAAATCCTAACAGTCAAAATTTTCAAGTAGAAAATCCAGTATGTTTAAAGCAAAGTAGCCTCTTATAATTTAATTAATTTTAAGGTTAGGTAACTTTAGATAAGGGTTAAGCTGTCAGGATATTTGCTATCAGAATTTTTTTGTCAGGATTATGGCCTGTCAGGTTTCGCTTGTCAGGATTTTGACTTCAATCCTGTAAATACGCCCTCTTGGCATTATAAGCAAAATTTTTAAAAATGTATATTTAAAGAGGGTATGCATTATGAAGGGTTGACTGTATTAATTTATAAAAATATTAAAAATATTAAAATTATTGTTAAAATTATTGTTGAAATTAAAAAAATTAAAAACTCTCATCTATAGGCGTTTATATAGATAGATATGAGCGACCAAATATCGTTGCTTATCGTCAAATCTTTCTTGAAGAAATTGCGTAGCTTGATCAATTTATGTCTAAGTGGCTTGATCAAGATTGTAAAATAAGAACTTTTCCACAGCTAAATGATGATGAAAAAGAGTATGTATAGGTGATTCATAATGAAAGTACCTTCTGTGCTTATCCCTTAGATTGTAGTAGAATATAGGCAAATTTGCCTGCGTTTTTACACTTTTTTAGCTCTGATTTACTTTTTTAAAATGCTAAAATAATTAAATAAAAC